ACTACAAATTCCAGAGGTGAAATATGAATGTAAGTAATAATGTTCGTAATGTTAAATTGAAGTGTCATTTTGCTGGAAGTAATTTTTGGGCTTTGTTATATTTGTGTGTTTGTGTACTGGAATATTTTGTGGTAACTTTTAATGACTAGATTGTAACTTCATTATATATGTATAAAAGCATTAGAAAATGTATGGTAACTAAAGTTCATCCATCCCATCAGAATTGTAACTTTCAGACCAAAGAATCAAATCAAATGAAAGGAGGGAATTTGGAGTGCCTCTCCCTCTTCCCCATATGTAAATGATCTGTATGTTTTATGGTATAGGTGAAATGGGATAGCAGAACAAATTTTGTAAAAGTACACTTGATAAAAGATAAATGATGAAGTGTGCCTATCACAATATATGTGAAATAGATTATGAAATTCGATCAAATCATAAGTAATGGTAACCGATAAATGATAATATATTTTACTTTTACACTGCAACAAGTAAAACAGGCTATTAGAGAATCCAATGAACATACAGGCAGTGGTAACAGATATCTACTAAGGTGTACCAACCACAGTATGACTAACAGGGGTTAGCAGAAAATTCATTAAAACATTTATTCCTATTTTCTAATGTTGATTATGCATATATATTTATTAAACAAAGAATTGTTGTTCACTTGTATATAAGAAAGATACGTTGTGTTAATTATTTTAAAATAAGTGGTTTTATGTTTCATTTGACTTTTCCAGATTTAGACCACCCAGCAGATGTTCAGTAAGTCCAGTTTATCATTATTTAGAAAGCTCATCAGTATATATATTGCACTTTAGAACATTTTATTTCACAATAAAGACCAGAAGAGAATAGATTTTAGATATTTCAAGTAGAATGAATTTAACTGAAATCATGTATGCCTGTTTATTCATCTTGAGTTAAGCATGAAAGTCAAGTATGATAATTAAACTTAGGTGGGAACAAATTAATGATACAATCAACTTCTTTGTTTATGATATAGCTTAGGCATTATAACACAGGCAAGTTATTTGTGAGTTATAAAATGTTCATCAAACCTCAGATTTGCATGATCTGTGTGTGTGTGTGTGTGTGTCTAGATATTTAATATATCAAGATTGTTTATAAATCTTCAGAAATGCCTTGGAGGCATCCAATAAAAGAACATGAATAGCACGTGCTGGATATGGTAAATTATTTCTTAAGATTTGATGATTTGCTGCATATGGTTCCAAATTTCAAAAAAGCAAATTTTGAAGAGACGAGAAAAGAATTACATGGGCATGAACTGGGCAATTGAGTTAGTTGGAGATACTGATTAAATATTGAAAATATTTTAAAATAAATTATTGAATATTCAAGATAGGCATGTTCCTTATAGACAAAAAATGGTGGCTACAAGTAAAAATCCAGGTTGGCTCACAAAGGGTATAAAGGATAAAAATTTTTAAAAATTATAAACATAAGACGTTTAAATTGGCTACAATGATAGGAGGTTTTAAGGATTATGTAAGAGTTGGTCAAATGGGAAATTAGGCATTGAAAAATGATATGAAAAAGGGTTGGCTTTTCGAAAATGTAAAAAATAATGGTAAGGATTTCTTCAAATATATTAAAGGTAAGAAAAATGTTAAGATGGGAGTAGGGCCTTTGAGGGATGGCTCAGGAAGGCTAATATCTGATTATTTTGAAATGGCTGAGTTGTTAAATTCTACCTTTTCTTCAGTTTTTACTGAAGAAGATTAAGCAGTATTCTTCATCCTGAGCAGTTGCTAGATGGAATAAAATGCTCACATTAATTCTGGCCTTGTTAAAAGAAAATTGGGAAGTTTAAAGAATGATAAAGTTCCTGGACCTAATAATATTTACCAAGGATTTTGAAAGAATTGGATTTGTGAGCAACTTTCTATTAATTTTTCTAAGTCTTTGAATAGTGGGCAGGTGCCAGAAGATTGTAGGTTAACTAATGTTACTTCTTTTTTCACTAGGGGAAAATCTTGCCTTATTAATCTTTTGACAATCTTTGAAGAGGTTAATGCTTATGCAGATGAAGGTATAGGTGTGGATTTGGTGTATCCGTATTTTCATAAAACATGACAAGGTGTCACATAAACGGCTTGTTAAAAAAATTATCTCCATAAGTGTGAGGGATAGGTTGGTTTATTGGATAGAAAACTGGCGAGATAGAAGAAAGCAGAGATTTGATAAAAATAGAGTTCAGTCAAACTGGTTTAATGTCACAAGTGGGATACCTTGAGGCTCAGTGCTCTTCTTTATTTACATCAATGACATAGATGAAGGAATGGTCAATAAAGTATTTAAATTTGTTGATGACATCACAGTTTTGTGTGTTACTGGCTAAGCTACTGCCTTTCAAAAAGATTTGGTGAGATGAGTGAATAAGTAGCAGATGACTTTCAATTATAATAAATGTAAGGTAATGCATGTGGGATATCACAATATTCATTATGAGTATAATTTTAATGTAAATAACTTTAAAAGTGTTATGGAAGAAAAATATCTTGATGTTCTGGTTGATCAGTCTCTAAGCCATCCAAGCAGTGTGCTGTTGCTAGTGGCAGGGCAAATAGGATTTTAGGTTGTATCTATAAAAATATTGAATACAAGTCTAAAGAGGCTATAATGTCATCGTATAGATCATTGGTTAGGCCACATTTGGAATAGTATGTTCAGTCTTAAGCTCCTTACTTTAGAAAGGACACTGAATTGTTGGAAATGGTTTAGAGGAGGGCTACAAGGATGATACTTGGGATGGAGGGGTTGTCATATGAGGAGAGGTTAAGATCTCTGAAATTGTTTTCTTTTGAAAAAAGAAGAGGTAGAGGGGATCTTACTGACATGTTTTAAGATTGTTAAGGGAAATGATGATGTTTGTGCATCATGTTTTTATATATTAATGGTGAGAATGGTAGGAGTAGGGGACAGAAGAATAAATTCCAATATCTTACCCCCTTTTACAAAAAGCTTTCTTGAATAGTACTGCCATCTATTGGCACAAATATTTTGCTCGCCACTAGCCTTGAAACTCCCACTTCTGCATATCAACATGTAAACCCTTCATCAATAGAAGTGTGATACTACCTCTATCATAACTAGTGCCCTCTTTAATCATGGACTTGTTAATCACTTCTCGATTAGCAGTCTTATTGTGCAGACATGTTTGTTTTCTCTTGTGAATTAGTTATTATATCCACGTGTTTTTATTTTCATGTATTTTTCTAATTCGGTTATTGTAGTTTTCCATTTTTTGGTGGACAGTCATGATGTGTTTTCATTATCTGCTCTCCCTTTTCTATTTTTTGTTCAAGTTTTCAACTTTGTGAGTTATGCCCTCACAGTTTCAGGTGGTCACAACTGCCACTGCTGTTACTGTGGCTTTACTGACCACATCTACATGGTTGGTACCACAAGTATCAGCTGCTGACATGATGGCTATGATCCTTAGGGAATTGTATAATTTAGGGCAGCATTCTGAATAACTTGATGAGTGTCCTGTCATACCAGCACCTAGGTGTGTCTGTACAGGTGGATGTGACTCTGGACAGCCTTTCTTCCCTCTCCTGAATATGTTTATCTGTCCCATGTCATTTTGGGGGTCTTACCCAGGCCTCCTCCTCCCTTTATACTTGATTAATGAGGTATGTTGTGTTTTGTTTTTATCTTCCATTTTCATTTAAGATTCTACCCATGCCATCCTAGGGGATTAACTTTTGGGTCATTCTTTCATTTTTCCTCCTTATTCAGATAGTGAGGTTCTTGCTAGTCATTTCAGGGAAAAATAGCATTCTGAGAGTTGATATGCCTTGTCCCCCATGTACGTTGGCCTATTATGTTTTTGCATTTATAGTTCCAACTACCATAACTAGACACATACCTTTTGGAATTCTTCTTCCTATGCAGGATTCAGACCCTGATACTTTGATTAATTTTCCCTATGTCCATTTTCCCATACACTTGTTACAATATCCGCCATTATCCGAGTATCATCCTCCCTTCACTCTTTGGTTGAGGATATTCATCTGTCTCATTATGGATTTTTTGTTGATCGTAGTGGTCTCTTTTTTTTTTTTCTCCCATGACATGCCTTTCCTGTGGCCCTCGTTTTACAGACATGGCTGCTCTGCTGTTGTATCATTCTAGGTCAGGATACTATTTTATCTAGGGTTTATTTACCCTCCTCTTCATTGCATGAATTGTGCATGGCACCTTTATTTACATCAAGAGGTGTTGGGGTGTTTCCCGTTTCTATGGAGTTTGGGGTTGATTCTGCTTGTCTACATAACTCCCTTTCCATTCGTCCCCTTCATTTCTTTCCCCACTTAGTGGTTTCCCGTTTTTTTGTCAGCATCAGTCAGAGGCAGCTCGGGACTTACTTCTCAAGGATGCCATTGAAAAGGAGATCCTTCTCATTGGGGGTTTATTCTCATCTTTTTTTTTTGTCCTTCCCAAAAAGATGGGAAATTGGTACCCAGTTTTTGATCATTGTCTCTGAACTGCTTTCTCATCATTCTCAAGTTCACCATGGAGTCATACTTAAATCTTCATTGGGTTTTCACTCCTGGTTTGTGGATGAAGTAGTTCAATGTGTTGGATGCATATCCACATATTCCCATCTCTCCAGCATCCAGACATTTTCTTCATTGTGGGTGTTTTTCAGTTTCAGACTTTTTCAATTTCTGGCTCTTCTTGTTGTGTTTCTCACTTCATTTCTGTCAGAACCAGCCATCTCTCTATCAGTTGAGAGCTATAGGATGTCTCATATGCAGCATCTCCTATCCTCCTTTTCCTTCTGCACATGAGGTTGTATCTCTTTTGGGGACATGGGCTTCTCTTGAAGCCCTCATTGTTCTTGGTCATGCCCATATGCACCATCTTCAGTGGGTTTGGATTGACCAATGGTGCCTTGTTTGGGTTTCCTTGGATGCTCCTCTTACCCTCTCCCCTCATTTACAGTCTGAGTTTGACTGTTGGTTATATTGGACCAATATTATTGTAGGGGTTTTCTCTTCCTTGTCACCTTTTTACAGATGCTTCTCTTTCTGTTTGGAGAGCGTTTCTCAACATCAGGATGTTTTGGGGTGGGGAACTCTTTTTGAATCCATTTTCAACATCAATCTGTTCATTGGGCTGTACTTATCTTCCTACTGGCTCTTTGCGACCAGGTGGTGGTGATTCACTGTGACAATTCTATGATAGTGTCCTACATCACCTGGCATGGGAAAACCCAGTCGAAAGACCTTTATTTTCAAATGTTGGATCTCCTATATTAGGCCCACTGCCATCACTTTGTTAGCATGTCTTACTATGGTGCCATAAATCTGGTTGTGGATCAATTATCCCATCCTGACAGGGTTCTACCAATGGGAGGTAGTTTTTGGATCCTCTCATTTTTTAGGAGATGTGTGTGCCTTGGGGTGTTCTCGATTTGGACACTTTTGCCTCTCGTCTTGATATATACCTTTCATATTTTTGGTCTCATGTTCTTCATCCGTTGCAGGAGGAGTGGATGCTCTCAATCAGGATTGAACAGGTCATTAGCTTTATGCATATTCTCCTATTTGTCTTCTTCCTCATATACGATCAATAGTTCAGAACACTTCATGTCGAGTTATGCTGGTGGTACTGTATTGGCCAGCTCTAACATGATTACCACTTCTGCAACTGCTTTTGGTATCTCCTCCCCTGCCTTTGTCTCCTCTCCCACACTCCTTCATCAGCCATACTCCACTGTGCATCATCTG